ACGTCTGTATTGTGGACATTTCTCCATCTGCTTGCCAGTAGATGTTTAACGTCTGTGTGTCTGAGACTAGAAGAGTCTAGTCTAACCTTCATCAAACTCTAATAATTGGTGACTACTCCCTATGAAAAGGAATCTATAGTTGGCCAGGGCCAAACTGCTGAGATACAGCACATGTGTGTATTGACATGTAAAATTTTATCAAGCACAGCCAAGAAGAAAGTTGCATATTAAACCAATGGACAACGTGAGGATGTGGGTATGAAAAGGATTTCCTTCTGTTTCGCCAGTGGCCATGAGGCACCACGGAATAATCTCAGCCACCCTGTCACTGAGAAACAAGCAGGAGCCAACTGTGTGCTGATTCAGCACGACCCGTCAGCTTTCATCTACTCGGCAAGGAAAATCAGTCTCAGGCGGCGGTCTCAAGAGCTCTGGTGAGCAGTGCCATGGGTGGTGGAAAGCCATCTCAACAGATAAGTAACATCAAGCAGCTTTATACACTTTCTGTCCTGTGGTGTCAGAGGTTAAAACAAGAAGCGAGATCTCCACTCCCATGCAAATGTGATGTGGACATACTTCCTGCACTCAAGCTACCGTTCCAGGTTTTCTAGGCCTCGAGGCAAGAACATCCAAATACTGAGGAGCTTCCACCTAATCTTCACTGGAAGTGATTCATCTGCAATGTGAGAACACACTGAAAGCCACTATCAAGTGAAGACTCTAACAGATTTCCAAAACGGCTTCTATTGCAATGAACGTGCTTGATGAAAACCATCTGCTTATGGACTGACAGCAGTTTTTGGCAGTACCTATCTGTATAAAAAGGCATTTTCAAAAGGAAAACACGTAAAATCTTATTGTGTGTCTACCTCAGTAAATATTTGCCATCAGTTTTGATGATGGGAAGACTCAATTTGAACCCCAATTAAGTGAAAAGTTATTCTTCTCCCGAAAATAGACTTCTGTTCTTCTCATTAGACTTATATTACAAAAACTGCACTCAGTTTTATGTGAGTTGTGTCAATAAAAATTTTGTTAAAAAATGTCTTTTTTTTCTCTTAAGGTAAGTACCTACATATCTTGATTTTGCCTCCTGGGTCACAAAGCCTGAAATAGTTACTGTCTGATTCATTACAGAAAAAATTCATTGACCCACCCGAAGTGGATTGTATTAAAAACTGAAGTTAGATCTGTTACTCTATTGATGCCAGTATGGAAATATCTAACATTTTGAAAAAGCAAATCTTAAGGGGCACTTGGTTGGCTCAGTTGGTCAACTCTTGGTCTCAGGGTTGTGAGATGGAGCCCTGAGTCGGGCTCCGTGCTGAGCATGGCATCTGCTTAAGATTCTCTCTCTCCCTCTGCCTCTAACCCCTGACTCAGGCTCTCCTTCTCCCTAAAATAAATAAATAAGCAAATCCTAGTAAGATAACATAATCCTGTAGACGCAATAAAATCCCCTTGAAACATCTACTTGCACCTGTTGGGCATGCGCACGCACACACACAGTGCCTGGAAGGAGAAACACTGAACCACTGGCTGCATTGTTTCTAGCAGACACTCTGACCGGTTCGTTCTCCATGAAGCGTCCCCATGAAGCATCCCGGGTGATGTGTACCACAGAAATCACATCTGGCGACTGCCCTGTGTAAAACCCCCAGGGGCTTCCCATCACACTTAAAGCAAACCACTCCAAGTCTTGTCAGGTACTGGAGCCCTGGGATCTGGCTCCTGGCTGCCTCTCTAATTCATTTCTTCCCAGCCTTCCTTCAGCCCAGTGAGATGCAACCTCGCTGGCCTCTGTGCAGTCCCTGCAAGCATATTCTACCTCAGGACGTTTGTACTCGCGGTTTCCTCAGGCTGAACTGTGATTCGAGCAGTCAAAGGGCTCCCTCCTCTCTGTTGCCTGGCCTGAGATCTAAGGTCGCCCCTGAGAACTGCCTGCACGGCTGTGGTTGTGCATGTCACACGGCCACGGACTGACGTGCTCACCTTCCTCCACTGTGCCTTACTCACTAGGCGTGGCCTCTGTGAGGGACATACCCCGTTCCCTCCTCCGCCATCTCCCAGCAAGCTAGACTGGTGCTAGGAACACACACGTGTCCGGGGAACCAACAGAAGGAGGTAAGCGAGCAGGAGGACAGGAAAATCTCCTCTTTTTAGCAACTTCCGTTACAGTGAGCGTATATTTGCATATTGTTTATAAAATGAGAGAAGTTTAAAAACAAAAAAATTACTAGTTAATGCAATTTCAGAGATTATTAAAAAAAACAAGTAAATAACAGTTTCTCTCTCTGTTCCTATTCTCCTCATATTTGTTAGTGAACCTCCCTGTAACTTGTTCTTATGACCCTAACTGCACACTATCTACCTTAGAGATCAACAAGGGCAATGAGTACAAGTGAACTGAAAACAAAAACTGAAAAAAGACTTTTATTTCAACATAGACGATCTGGAGGCATCACTTGATGTACAGAGTATTTTTACCGATCCCCAATTCCAGCATATACAGACTGTCGACAGGAAGCTGCAGGCTCTACGCTTCTGTCTGCGGAAAACTCCCAGACAGAGGTGGGGAACCAGCTGGGCTAATCATAGACAACTTAAAACATCAGGGAGTGTTTATAGCAGCAATGTCCACAATAGTCAAATTGTGGAAAGAGCCAAGATGTCCATCGACAGATGAATGGATAAAGAAGATGTGGTATATATATACAATGGAATATTATGCAGCCATCAAAAGGAATGAGGTCTTGCCATTTGCAATGATGTGGATGGAACTGGAGGGTATTATAGTTGAGTGAAATAAGTCAAACAGAGAAAGACATGTATCATGTGACCTCACTGATATGAGGAATTCTTAATCGCAGGAAACAAACTGAGGGTTGCTGGAGTGGGGGGTGGGGTGGGAGGGATGGGGTGACTGGGTGATAGACACTGGGGAGGGTATGTGCTCTGGTAAGCTCTGTGAATTGTGCAAGACTGTTGAATCTCAGATCTGTACCTCTGAAACAAATAATGCAATATATGTTAAAAAAAAAAAAAAAGAAGAAGAAGAAGGTAGCAGGAGGGGAAGAATGAAGCGGGGGAAATCGGAAGGGTAGACGAACCATGAGAGACGATGGACTCTGAAAAACAAACGGGGTTCTAGAGGGGAGGGGGATGGGAGGATGGGTTAGCCTGGTGATGGGTATTGAGGAGGGCACATTCTGCATGGAGCACTGGGTGTTATGCACAAACAATGAATCATGGAACACTACATCTAAAACTATTGATGTAATGTATGGGGATTAACATAAGAATAAAAAAAAATCACAAAAAAAATTAAAAAAAATAAAACATCAGAGAGTCTTGATTTTCTTACTCTAAAACAAAGGGATCAGATTTAGGCTAGACAATATATAAGTCTCTCCTGCCCTAACATGCAATGATCTTCTGTCTCTGTGGAATGACATAAAACAAGGCGACTCTAAAAGGTATCTTTATATTAGACCACACAGAATGTCTGTTCCATCTCTGAGTAAAATTTAGTGACCGCAGGGCCCTGGCTGCACCCCACTGCTGTGACAGCCCCCATCATGTGATGCTGAAATCTGAAGTCTCCTGGAAGGCCCAGTGCTTGCCCCTCATGGTCCTCCACGCGCCCCAGACCCCAGGGGACGGTGGACACGGGGCTGAGTCCTAGAACATCCTGCTTCCAAGGAGAACTGCACTCTTATCTTAACAACACTGGGGTTATGGGGTGCACCACACTGTCTGAAACCAGCCTTTTTTTCATTTAATTTATATTCACACGCCATTAAATATTATTCAGAGGCTTTAAAAATAAATAAGATAAAAACTGAGAAAAATGAGAATGTAAGCTTTAAGAACAGGATATTCTTAACTACTAAAACAATTCTATATATCTACTGATTTATAGTAACTTTAGAGTCAACAAGATTTTAAAATAAACATTTTGAAAACACATACTAAGCCTAACCCAACATAAAATATAGATTGTCAAATTTATTTTCAGAAAGCTAAGATAAAAAAATAAGGTTAAAAACATACAAAATTAATTCTTATGTGAGACTATTTTGGGGAATTTATACCCAACCAAAAGATACACATCAGTGATTATTTCCACACCCATAACTTTTCCATCTTGAAAAGGGCGGTTAAAATCATGGCGAGAGCAGACAAATAGTGAAGAATAAAGTTGGTCTTATGAAAATTTTAGCCTAATCTTTACATAAAGATGGTTAAAGTTCAAGATTTCATCACTTTTGACTGCTGACATTTATTTGTGCTTGTAATCAGAAAGTGTGAAATGTTTTCGAATGTTGTTACTTTTGACACAATTACAATTACAGAATTCGTTACGATGGTCACAATTAAATTACACACAGGAGAAAATCTATTTAAGTGATACGCTTAAAGCAAAATAAATAGAAGCCAAACAAGGCTTGTTACAATGAACTTCTTATCCTGAGCAAAAAAATTTTTTCTTTGTAACTAACATTGCCCAAAGTTTCTTCAAAATAAATACTGATAATGTATTTCCACATTTACTTTCTTGTACCTTCTCTTTTCTTGATGGAATCAATACCTATACTGCCTTACTTTCCCTTCTAAAATAAACAGTCTCAATCCTCTAGCAGAACGCTTTTGTGCACAAGGTCACGTTATCTTTGTAAGAGGCTCCAGAGACAAGGGAGTGTTTGCTCTAGTCAACTATTCACATTAGGCATCACTGGCTCTTGGGCCCTACACGGAAAGGCTTGGGACAGATGTATTCCTAACAGCAGACTGGACCCAGGCACCTAGAAACTCCAGAGGGGGGTGAGCACCTATCCCTACAGAATGCATCACTGGAAAATATCACACACACATTCTTTAAAATTAAAAAAAGGAAAAAAGGAACTATTTAATTATGGAAAGGTGGTGATGACATTACAAGACGGCCACACCAGCACATATTCCTGCAACAAAGGTACTTGTAAAGGAGATTCACATACTTCCATCGCGTCCACTGGATGACGGTTCCCTTCCTTCTGTAGCTTTGTCCACAGTACAATCACCCACAAAATCGAGCTCATGATCACACTGCGCTTCACCACCAGATGAATTCCACATTCGAGAAGTGCTATCTTCTTTCTGTACGTTTCTCATGTCCAGCAATTCTTTCATTTCCGTGCTGCTCCCTTCCAGAGGAGTGAAATCGCCATCAAGTCCCTCCCCTCCATGCCCCTGCGGCAGAGCGGGCTCATCATCCACGTGACAGCATCTGTTCCCCTCTGCATGCGGGCCTGCTCTTCTCTGAGCACCAGCCTGCTGACAACAGCCTGGGGTTCCTTCAGCAGCACACATTCCCTCAGAGGTCAGGCAACCCCACATTGTGTCTGCCGTGTGCTGTGTAGGCTTCTGAAGACTGCAGCTAGTTTTTGCTGTTACATCGGTCATGTCGACTGACCTGGGATTTTTACCAATGCAGGAAAAGTCAGCCATCTGCAGTAGGTTTCTTCTTTCCCTCTGAGAAAGACCTCCCCTGCAGCTGAACCGAGCAAGGCCTGCAGATGGCTGAAATCCAGGAAGAGCCTCTGAACTCCTTTCCCTAAGATTATCAGGTGAAAAATAATCATCGTACGAGGACACCCCACAGCCAGGGGTCTCAACAGCACACCCGGCCGGGAGCTGCAGGCGGCTTCCCGATGTCCACAGCTGCACCCGCGGCCCGGCAGGCTTCCCACCGCACCCCTTCTTCTTCAGTCTCTCTTCGGGGGGCGCATCCGAGCTCTCAGACATTCTTTTTCTCTTTGCTGAAGAGCTCTTGGATCGTGAACGTCCCGAAGGGCGGCGTTTGGTTGCAGATAAAATAGGGGACAAGCTGTGTTTCTCATCAAACACCATCCTGGCCGCTTCCTGCTTGTCCGGGGTGACTACCTCACCTGCAGGATCTCCCGGCTGAAGAATCTCTTCTTTGGAAAGACTACCCATGGGTTTCCGAGGAGTTAACTGACTGAGGTAACTGGGAGATGCTGATGAATGGATGCTACTTGTCTTCAGTGCAGCTGAAGGAACACACACATCACTTTTAATTTCATCCACAATTCCTCCCAGTTTCCCTTCCTGACTTCCACATCTCGCGTTTCCACAAGGATCGTCAAAAGATGAGTGCAAGTCACCAGCAAAGGATTCATCTGGAAAGTATTAATGAAGAATTAACTTTTTAAATGGTTTCAATTATTATAAAAGTAACTTTTGGTTAACCGATAAAGCAGTACTTCTTAAACATAGTTATTGGTTAAAAAGAGTACCAACCATATCCTGGTTCTTCTCATTTCCACCTGAGGACACCTTTCAGGCCAGCATTTTTCACTAAGGAACCGGGCATCGAGGGCATGGGGACTGTGGGGAGGGCGGGGACAAACCTCTAAAACTGTTATGCTCACTTTCTGAACATTCATATGCATGTGCACTTCCTTCCAGGAAAAGCATCCAAACCTTGTCATTAAATTCTCAAGGAGGTCAAGGGGCGCCTGGGTGGCTCAGTCATTAAGCGTCTGCCTTCGGCTCAGGTCATGATCCCAGAGCCCTGGGATCGAGCCCCGCATTGGGCTCTCTGCTCAGCGGAAAGCCTGCTTCTCCCTCTCACACTCCCCCTGCTTGTGTTCCCTCTCTCACTGTGTCTCTCTCTGTCAAATAAATAAATAAAATCTTTAAAAAAAAAAAAAAAATTCTCAAGGAGGTCAATAATTCTAAAAGGTAAGAACTAATGCTACCATCTACATCAAGGTCTAGTCTTCCACGAAGCAGCCCACCTGAATTCTCTGTCCTCCACGTGCAAGTCCTCATGCTGCATTTATACTCAAAAGCAAACCCTAATTTTAAAACCCTAATTTTATTCTTTCCTACACTCTGCTTCTAGGCAGAAAATCTGCCATTTACCATCTAATTTTTTTTAATGATGTCTACACACCTCACTTACCCCCTTCAGTCACATGTCCCACAGTCTTTACCCATGGTGTGAAACAAGCATTTCTCATACTGTTCTCAGTAATGCACAGTTTATACTGCATGCAAGTTAGTACATACAACATGAATTTTTAAAAAAATGAGCAACTGATTCTGCGCCAAGAAATTAAATGCCTAGGAGAAAAACTGTAGGAGCCAAAAAGGAGGTTTAACTCATGCAATTTCTTATGCCCTAATTGTATTACAATACCTATTTTTTATTTTAATACCTAATTTCAGGGTAAAAGTCATGAATTCTAGTTTTTAACCAACTGTTCTTGACATCAGAAGATACTCCAAGTAAGAAAATCACCATGTTCTCATAGTTTAAATATATCACAGAAAAGAAAATAATTTTACCTGAACACAAAGTACCATGTGAAATGTTCCAAGAAGCTTCCCATGGGGAGTTAGCTGGGTTATCATGAGACTTCTCAAGCATCTGCGAAGCTGAAAACATAATCGCACACTTCATCAGATACAACTCTGACATGTTAGTAGGTGAAGCCCATGGTAAGCCAACACATTCTGCTCTTCCACACAAACATCGACTTACACCTGGTACTTCATTTCCCAGACCTACTATAAAACAATAAGCACAAAAAACTTACTCAAATCTATTGCGGATGATGAGAATCATAAAAAATAATCTACATGTATCAGGTTAAAAAAGGATTAAACCATAGGATATAAAGTTAGAAGAGATTCTGAGGGGCACCTGGGTTGCTCAGTCGGTTAATGCAGCCAACTCTGGGTTTTGGCTCAGGTCATGATCTCAGGGTCCCTGGATCAAGCCCCACACTAGGTTCTGCGCTCAGTGGGGAGCCTGCTTCTCCCTCTGCTCTTCCCCTGTTCAAGCTTGCTCACTCTCTCTTAAATAAATAAAATCTTTAAAAAAAATTTTCAATATAACAATAAAGAAAAACAAAAACTAAGGCATGAGATACTTAGTCTAAAAGCAGATTCCCTCAAAAGAAGAGCCTGATTTATTTTTTTTAAAGGAAAACAACCCAAAGATTTTAAAAATTACAAAGGGGCTATAAAAAATAGGATTCTCAACCTATACATCCAACACTACACACCGAATATATGCTTAAAATATATGCTTTAAAACTATAAACTCGACATAGGCTTTAAAAATCTCAATGAAGCATAAGATTTTCTGGGAGAAAATATTAACAAAGTCTACCCAGAAACAGATAAAAAATCTGTTAGAATCAAGAAACAACTAAAATACCTACGTAAAGAGGAAAAAAACCCCTTCTAGCACAACTTACCCAACAATTTGCCTCACTTTCACTTTATAAAACGTGAGCACTTACAGGTAGGGGAGAGGTTCTCCCTTTTCTCCTTCATCTCCTGTAATCTCTTCTCCATTAGACTATGCTGGCCGCTGCACATTTTAATTGTGGGACTATACATCAATGAGCCATTAGATTCAAATAAGAGAACAGGTATGTCATTATCTGAAAATAAACAAAACTTTATTTAGCTAAAAAAATAAAAGGCCAGAAGGTTTAATACTTCAACAATAGGATTCCTTTCAAGGAACAAGCCCCTCCCCAACACCCACAGTCTTCCTCGTCCCCTGCAACATCATTACCCACTGCTACCAACAGTCTATCTTCAGCCCACCAGCCCACAAGCAGTAACACTGGTGCGAAAACTGCTGGCTAATGTTTGCTGAGGAATGTCATGCGCCAGGCACTGGGCTAAGCACAATACGTCACTGTTTCATTCAACCTTTCCCAAACCCAGTGCATCAGATTATCAGTCTGCCCATGTAAAGATGAAGAAACCAAGACACAAAAGTTAAGTAACTTGTTTATATCCAGGATCACACAACTAGCGAGAAGGTAAAGCCAGAGTGCAGTCTGGTTCCTAAATGCTGATGAAGAGCGACAGAATACATCACCCCAAACATGTCACTTTGGCATAAGGATTATTTTGAGCAGAATGCTCTTAAATCACAGCAGGTGAAAGAAAGATGCTCTGACACTCCCCACCCCACCCCAAGCTTCTCCCTGAAGGCAGGAGATAAAACTCCCCTTTGAAAGATGCACCCCCTCCACTTTATCACCAGAGAAGGGGAGCTGACGCCAAGAGAATTCTGTAAAACAGGCCTTATTAAAGGACCTCTTATCCTCCTTTGGTTCCCTTATATCTTACTTTTCCACAATTGCCTCTCCTTGTTCAACATAAGGTTCTATGAGCTGAGAACCTAAGATGGGTGCAGAAACAGTTCTGCCTCTAGGAGTAGTGTTAACTCTAGGTCTCAGAAACCACCACCACTAACCAACCCTCTCCGACCCTCAACAGACACACATATCAACTTTGGGGTCAGGAGTCCGTCAGCCATGAAATGATGGCTAAACCGGGTGTGGGTGCACAGGTATGTGTTTTTCTGGAATCCATACCTGGCACATGCTCAAGGAGAACTTCAGGGCTCTGACCACCTCCCCTCACCCACCAATAAAAAGACCAAGAATCATTCAGCATCTTCTTTGCAACTCTTAAGCCTGCCAACATGCAGACATGTCAGTTCTATCTGTAATACCTTATATTGTAGTGTTTAAAAGGCAATTTTTATTAAGATATAAATTTGATCCAAAAAGATAAAAGTTCTTTAGTACCATATTGCCAAATTCTTTTAAAATACACCACTACTGTGGTGTAAGAAGGCCCAAAAAGCAAGAGTATAAAGCTGACAGGGAAGTGGTACAGGGCTGACCTGACCAGACTACAGAGGGCGACTGGTGCCGCAGGGCAGGTGAAACACAGGGTTCCATCCGAAATACTTTTCCTTATGATGACCTGAGGAAGTGGAAGCCCTGGGTGGGGTGTGCACCTGACTTCTGGTTTACACCCTTCTCACGCAAGTACAGCTGATGGGTGGTTGAGGACACAGCGCCTCTAGGGCCCAGTCAAGGAGCCACTAGGAGGGTTCCCATGGGGGTGATGCTTAGAGAAAGATCAGTGGAGGAGTCAAGCAATCATCCAGAAGCAGGGGGTAAGGATCATGGTGGGTAACTGGCATCAGGCAGAAAGGGATGTCAAGAGTTACTCCACGAGTCTGTCTGGAGCAGCGCAGACCAGGTAGTGAGAGGCTGTTAGGGAGGGACCAGCATGGCACCAAGAGAAAGAGGCCTGATTCTCAGGCACTGGGATGACTCTGCAAAAAAACAAATGATAAAGGCAGTGTTTTTGGAAATTATCTGGCAGCACTGTATATACAAGCTAAACGTTCTAGTCAATTCTGTTCCATTACCATGACAGATTTAAAATAAAGCTTGATAATTCTGCATGAAAAATTTCAAAATACAGAGCAGAGAATCTGTGATATGGCAATATACACTACAACAAAAAAGTAGAGGAATTAGTGCTTATTTTTATGCCATGCATTATATAGTTACCGAAATTGCTTACATGTATCACTGATGTGTTGGGATTGGTCTGAAACACTGAATTTAGGTAGTGAAAAAGGCAAAAAAGAGAAATACAAAAAACACATATGGTACTTTAGAGTTTCATGATGTTCTAAAGTATTTTTATAAATCATTAAAAGACTACATGTAGCAAAAAAAAAAAAAAATCCAATTTTAAAAATGGGCAGGAGATCTAAACAAGACATTTTTCCAAAGAAGACATACAAATATCCAACAGGTACAGAAAAAAGAGTCAGCACTACTCATCAGGAGGGAAATGCAAATCAAAACCACAATGAGATTCTAACCACATATTAGAATAATTATTATCAAAAAGACCAGAAATAACAAGTGTTGGCAAGGATGTACAGAAAAGGAACTCTTGTGTACTCTTGATGGAAATGTAAATTGGTGTAGCCATTGTGGAAAACTCTATGGAGCTTTCTTAAAAAATTAAAAATCGAACTTCCAAAAGAGCCAGTAATTCCAATTTTGGGTATTTATTTACCTGAAGGAAATGAAAACACTAAAGAAAAAAACAATAAAGGAAAACACTAACGCAAAAAGATATCTGCACCCCCCTCAGGTTCACTGCAACATTATTTACAAGTGCCAAGACATGGAAACAACCTACATGTCCACTATGGATTAATAAAGAAACGTGGTATGTACACACACACAAACACACACACGCACGTGTGCATGCGCGTTCACACATGCACACGCATACACACTCAGAGGAATACCATTCAGCCATAAAAAAGAACAAACCTTGCCATTCGTGACAGCATGGATAGACCTTGAGCACATTACACTGAGTGAAATAAGTCAGAGAGAGAAAGATAAATACTGTATGATGTCACTATATGTGGAATCTATAAACAAAATCAGAACACAAAAATCAAAACAACCAGCTTATGGGTAGAGAGAACAGACTGGTGGTGGTCCGAGGCCCCGGGGTGGGGCGATGAGCAAGATGGGTGAAGGGGCTCCGAAGGGACAAATCCCCAGTTATCAAATGAGTGAGTCATGGGATGTAATGTATGGCACAGTGACTACAGTTAGTAACACTGTACTACAATTTGAAAGCAGCTGGGGAAACTGGGTGTTGAAAGTTCTATCATGAGAAAAAAAAATGCTTTGTAAATATGTATGGTGACAGAGGTTAACTGGACTTGTGATCATTTTACAACATACACACACAGTGAATCATTACACCATACAGTTGAAACTAATGTTCGGTCAATTATACTTCAAAAAAAAGAATAGAAATGATGCTATGATTAAACACATCAGGACAAAAATTTCCTATTTTTTGATTCCAGAGAAGCAGCCTGTTGCTACCTAGCTCTCCCAAGTTCATTATGTGATATCTGTAGCCTTGTGCAAAACGCAATCATAAACAACAGTGATTACGCCACTGTTCAAGTGCTTTAAGGTTTTACAAATGATTCAAGACAAAGAATTAAAGTATCTTGAAGCCAACTAATGCCTACACAGAGAAAAAGAAAATATAGAATCTATATAAAATACAAATAATGTCTGCGTAAAAGCATCAGGGAACTACTGAAGAGACCAGGACCAGAGGAGTCAAGATTCTGGAAAGGAGGAGCACTGAGAGGCCAGCTGACAAGCAGTGGATGTTTTTACCCCCAGGAGGATTTACCATTAAGACCCCCGGGGCAGAGGCTGAAGGTCCCGGTCTTTGACCAGGCACACAGCAGTTGCTGAGAAACAAAGACACAAGCTAAGTGCTTATCAGTATCAACAAACTAAAGAGAAAACCAAAGGCTTTGCGGCACCAGATCCCACTAAACAGGGGTAGTAGAAAACAGGTCCTTGCACGTATGTGATTTTATCTTCAAGAAAGTTGCCCAATTCTGAAGCCAAATTCTTCTGTGAAATGGTGGAAAGTTCTCTGTGGTGTATTTTCACTGAGAGATGAAAATGGGAGTTCAGGACCAGTCAGGGGAAGAGATCCTAGTTATCATGCCAGGCTTTCAGTGGAAAGGTTTAGATGGGGGCATCTGGGTGCCTCAGTCGGTTAAGTGTCTGCCTTCAGCTCGGGTCACGATCTCAGGGTCCTGGGATCGAGCCCCACGTCAGGCTCCCTGCTCAACGGGGAGCCTGCTTCTCCCTCTCCCTCCACCCCTGCTCCCGCTGTCTCTCTTTCTCTCTCTCTCTCTCATAAATAAATAAAAATCTTAAAAAAAAAAAAAAAAGGAACGGTCTAGATGGCCACACTCTGGCATCAGTGTCAAACCCGAAGTCTACCAAGCCTTATCAAAGTCAGTGACGCTCCTATTCACATCAGTCCAGATAAAGCCAACAAGGCCCCACTCCAACTGCTTAGCAGAGGGAACTAGAAACTTTGTGTCTAAGAAAATAATAATGCCAGGGCGCCTGAGTGGCTCAGCTGGTTAGGCGACTGCCTTCGGCTCAGGTCATGATCCTGGAGTCCCGGGATCGAGTCCCGCATCGGGCTCCCTGCTCAGCGGGGAGTCTGCTTCTCCCTCTGACCCTCCCCCGTCTCGTGTTCTCTCTCTCATTCTCTTTCTCTCAAATAAATAAATAAAATCTTTAAAAATAAAAAGGAAAATAATAATGCCTAGAGCTTCAAACATATTTTATAACTAATGACTTGCCTTCAATTACAAAAACCGTCCATTCCTACTAAGAGACAGGACGTATATGACAAAAAAACAAGAGAAAAAAAACATCATATAAAACAACACAGGCGTTCTAGATATTGCAGATAGAAGCAAAGAAAGATGAAAAGAAAAAATGTGAGTGATTTAGTCAGAATAACAGAATCTATAAAAAAAAAACCAGAAACCCTAGAACTGCAAATAAAATAACCAAAATTATGAGCTGAACAGATGGATTTTATAGCAGATTAGACATGGCAGAAAAACATATTAATGAACTGTAAAAAAAGATCAATAGACAATATACAAACTGATGCACAGAAGGGGGAAAAAGAATTCAAGTACCTCTGTGAACTCCAAGTAGGATATTTAAAAAGAAAACTGGACCAGGAGCCTCGGTGGCTCAGTCATTAAGCATCCACCTTCGGCTCAGGTCATGATCCCAGGGTCCTGGGATGGAGTCCCACATCGGGCTCCCTGCTTGGCAGGAAGCCTGCTTCTCCCTCTCCCACTCTCCCTGCTTCTGTTCCTGCTCTCGCTATCTCTCTGTCAAATAAATAAATAAAATCTTTAAAAAAAAAAAAGAAAAATGGACCAATGAACATAAAATTCAAACTGCTGGAAGCAAAAAAAAGCAAACAAAAGGCAAAGTTAAAAGAAAATATACCTTTAAAAGAGCAAAAATACAACTATGGGCTAATGTGTAAATCAGTATTCTGAAAGCCCAAAGACAACGAAATGTGTTTCATTTTTTTTAGCTTTAGTGAGGAATAATTGAAAGATAAAAATTATATTTAAAGTGAAATAAAGGAAAGAATATATTATCTAACATTTCCCTATTCTAGGTAACAAAACAAAAAGACCAAGTATTAGGTAAAAACACAAAGTGAGATACAAAGTAACAAAGAAATGAACAGAGGTTTATTCTAATAGGGCTTCTTAGTCAAAATCTGTTTTTCCATAGTCATTCCTTGAAGTAAAAAGCTCCATCGATGTGGTGAGTGATGGAGACTTTGGCCCATGAGCTCACACCATGGCCCTCCTGCAGCCGGGTCCGCCCGGGCACCACCGGCCATCCGGCAGCTGAAACAGGTGCACGGGACCGCGCTGGATTCCTGGACTCACCCAGACTTCTCTTCTGCCTTTGTAGCTCTGTAGCCATTTTCTCAAATTTCTTCTGAAGCCTTTTATCATGTTCCGGTGTTTTAGGAATAAAATCTTTGGGCTGCATACACTTCCTCTGTGCAGAAAGGACATAAAAATGACTACTGTACCACAGCTGTGTAACGAGACAACCCTGTTCCCGACGCTTCTGATACCTGTCACAACACTGCAAGTACAACTTCTGACAGAGGCATTTCTTGCCCTGCATGTGAAACAGCAGTATTTCTTTCTTTCTGTGCCTAAGAACTGCAGCAGAACTGAAAGACTAGATACAAGGCTGTACGTTAAGTAGCTACGTTTTCTGAGGCATTTTCAGGATCCCAGCAATCTTAGTTTCCATGAAGGTTCTTAAACAAAATTAGTCGTTTTCCTTATTTTTGTTACTCTAAAATTATCTCTCCTCCTTCCCCGCCCCCCAAAATCGTAACATGGTAACAAAGTACAAAAACAATTATTTTCTAACTACCAAAGAAAGGAACCAATATTGAATCCTGCTTTATTGCCTTAAATCACAGTAATTCTATTCAGCCAGTAAAACCCAAAAACTCGAACTACACATACAAGGTGTGACAAACAGGATGAAGCCTGAGGCTAATGTCCAAAGAATGTCTTCGGTTAACTTTCCCACACCCACACTTGTGTTCTTGACTGAGCAACTTGCTCTCATTCATTATTTAACGAAATTTTTTTTTTATGTATTACTTATATATGACACATATAAAAAGATATGTGTCAAGCACTGGTCTTGGAACAGAAGAAGATTCTGGCTATCAGGAGCTTATACTCTATTAAAGAATGACAGAAAATAAACATCATTAATAAGTAAAATAGAAGTTATGTGTGTCAAGAGGGTTAATTCCAGCAGGCCTGGAACTGGCCTGAACTGTTTTCCCCAAAGTACAAGCACAGCATGCAATGTCCTAATGAACAATGTTGCTTTGTAACCATGAGTCCAGAGAATCTGGGAGCATTTGTACTCCCAGAGCTGGTCAACTGCCCATCACCAGTGGGAGGGCTCTGCTGTTGGGGGAGGTAAATGTACTGACAACAGGGGTACACGACCAGCACAAGAGTCTCCCTTAGGCCTCCCTGGTCCCAGGGTGCTCCCCAGATTCTCAAACATCCTTTAGGGTCCTGTGAATCTTCGTTGGCAACTGAACCCCAGCTAACTGCCACCATTATTACAGTATGTCAGAAAGGGGCGAGTCCCCCGGACAGTCAGGAAAACAGCACAAGAGTGGGATCAGGACAGCTGGAGCAGTGGGAAGGAGACACTACTGTACACAGAGCAGTCAGAGGGGGTCTCCCTGAGACAGGAACTCTGGCACAAAGCCCTACTAAAGTTAGAAAAATGGTCACATGCATGAAGTTTGGGGCAAGCATGTTCCAGATAGAGGGAACAGATATGCAATGCAATGGCTCTAAATCACAAGTACTCTTGGTGAATTTAAGAACAGCAAGCAAGAGGGTCAGGCTGGCAACAGAAAGAAGGGAGAGGGAAGCTGAGAACCTTGTCAAAGAGCCCAAAATAATATGGTCTGAAGTCATGTTCGCTTTGCATGTTCGCTTTGCAACTGCACTTAGAAAAGAGAAAGGAGGGGAGCCTGGGTGGCTCAGTTGGTTGAGCGACTGCCTTCGGCTCAGGTCATGATCCTGGAGTCCCTGGATCGAGTCCCGCATCGGGCTCCCTGCTCGGCAGGGAGTCTGCTTCTCCCTCTGGCCCTCCCCCCTCTCATGTGCTCTCTCTCATTCTCTCTCTCTCAAATAAATAAATAAAATCTTTAAAAAAAAAAAAGAAAAGAGAAAGGGAATGTTTTCAGGCACAAGTGGACATTTAAATGAAGTAGGTAAGCAGTCATTACTTATGCTTCAGATCAGGGAAAATGACCAAGATTAATAATATGCAGCACTAGTCACTGTGTCAAGAAATAGGTACACTGCTGGTGGAACTGTTAAAGTGCATGTACATTTTGACCCAGTCACTTCATTTCTAGATAATCCACCTGGAGAAATAAACTCAAACATGTCACATAAACAACGTGCTTAGTAAAAACTGACAATGATTTAAGGGTGCACAAATCCAAGAAAGACACACCGATGCCATATAATAAATATGGAAGAGTGAAGAGCTACTATATACTGTCGTGAAATGGTTAAACACACAGTTACGTGAAGAAGAAAAAAACAATCTCCCAAACGATACACGTAACACAGAACCTCACTGTACAAATGTGTGTGTGCGTGTGCGTGTGTGTGCATGCATCTGAAGTGTACGTGTACTGAAGACCATCCGCAAGGACCCAAGTCAAACCAAAAATTGCTTATTTTGAGGAAAGAGACATTAAGAGAGGTATTTGCCTTATCTGTGTTTACCCAATGTTTTACGATGAAAATATACTCATATTATTAATATGTTTTTAAAATAAGTCCTTGGGCGCCTGGGTGGCTCAGTTGGTTAAGCGACTGCCTTCGGCTCAGGTCATGATCCTGGAGTCCCGGGATCGCGTCCTGCATCGGGCTCCCTGCTCGGCGGGGAGTCTGCTTCTCCCTCTGACCCTTTTCCCTCTTATGTTCTCTCTCATTCTCTCTCTCAAATAAATAAATAAAATCTTTAAAAAAAAATAATAAAAAAATAAAATAAGTCCTTTACTTCTAAAAGGGTAGACACAGCTATTGCTTGGCGTTATCACTTAGAGTGGGGACTTAGAGGCTCTAATTCACCTCTAATCGAAGGAAATCTGGACAGAGACTGGAGTTGTTTGTCCATCACTCTAATTGAAGGATAATCTGGACAGAGACCGGAGTTAAGTTTGTCCGTCACCGCCCTGCAAATCCCAGCTTGCCCGAGATGAAATGTCTGAGATACAGAATTCACCATTTACAGAAAATCTGAGACGCCCACGGGACTGTCTTCCTTAACCTACAGGAAATGTATGGGTCTAGTCTGTCTAACTCAGTTTGGACAAAGTCTGCAAATCTCCTCCCCAACAGGGATCCTCACGTGAAAACAAAGCAACTCTGACGTTTCCTAGTAAACCAGTTTACCTCAAATAAAGAAATCACAATTAAAACTTTTAAATAATAAAAGAGTAAAAATGTTATGGATCAAATGTGAACTAGACCTCAGAGGAAAGCCAGTGTCTCTATGTTTGCACTTAATTATTTAATAAATAACTTGGGTATTTCTGCATCCGACTTTTGAGATTTTCCAGCTAAACAGCAGAACAAAGGTATTTTGCTGCAGACATAAAAAACTGAATTCTGAAGCAGTTCCCAGTGCACCTGTATGTCTGCTAGTCTCTTGGCAACTTTTAGTTTTCCACTGGCCAGACACAGCTCTTCCACTTCTCACAAATTACATCAAAGCATTTAAAGGATACACTAATGTCTGTAACTTTCTTAAAAACCCTATGTGGAAAGAACAGTATCATCAACTCCAACACTTAGGACACCTCTTAATATATAATATATATATTCCACAAAGTGTCATTTTCTAGGAAAAAAAGAATGAATACATTCATAACTGCCACTGTCGAAATCACATACTTACTTTTTTTTTAATTAGGCTTGGTAGGTGTTCCCTAGTGTTAGCTGCAGGGAAGAGTGCTTCATCAATGTGTGTTCCAGCCGTCCGGCATCTGTGTAATTAAATTTACAGAGCATAATTTGTTCCTGTTATAGTCACACAGCATCGCATCAGCGCATGTATCAGTCAGCAATTTAAGAGATGCACAGGCCATGTGAACAGACATGACTTTTACAGTAAGTACATTTATAACCAAATACAAAGGGCAATATAAATTCAACTTTCCAGGGTGCCTGGGTGGCTCAGTTGGTTAAGCGACTGCCTTCGGCTCAGGTCATGATCCTGGAGTCCCGGGATCGAGTCCCGCATCGGGCTCCCTGCTCGGCAGGGAGTCTGCTTCTCCCTCTGACCCTCCCCCCTCTCATGCTCTCTCTCTCTCATTCTCTCTCAAATAAATAAATAAAATCTTTAAAAAATAAATAAATAAATAAATAAAATAAAATAAAATGCCTGGAGGAGGGGCGTCTGGGTGGCTCAGTCGGTTCGGCGTCTGCGTTCGGCTTGGGTCATGATCCTGGAGTCCCGGGATCGAGTCCTCCCGCATCGGGCTCTCTGCTCACCAGGGAGTCTGCTTCTCCCTCTCCCACTCCCCCCTCTTGTGCGCTCTCTCTCTCATTCTCTCTCTCAAATAAATAAATAAAATCTTAAAAAGATAAAAAATAAATTCAACTTTCCAAAACAGTCTCTCTACAGTGTTTTTAAAGCGTAAAGGAGAAGTGAGAGGCAGCTAAGGGAAGCAGTTTTTATGCAGTAACTTCAGACTTGTAACAGCCTTCAGACTGAGGAGAGCGGGGCACACACACAGTATAAGCATATGCTCTTAAATGAATAGTAGAAGAGTAAACAGGACATCAAAGGAATAATCTAGAGCTAGAAGGGCCCTAAAGAAATTCGGCCAGAAAGACGATCTTGCCCCTAAAACTGGTGTTTCAACGGAGAGCTGGCTGGGCGATCCCAGCTTCGCCAGGCTGGGCCCCACCACCCGCAACTGTCTGTCATCAGTCTGTCACTTCCACTCTCCCTACACTGCCTTCACACCTCCCTGCCTGTCTTGGGAATCCCCCGACCATTACCTACTTCCAAGCATTCAGACGCTCAAATCTAAACAATTACAATAATTTTCTAAATGATCTCCTTACCTATAGTTCCTACTCTTCTCATTCATTCATATTATTACTGAAAGATTAAGCTTAAAACGTTTTATTCATCTCTCCACAACCCTGATCAAAAGCTTTCAATCATTCCTGTGTTTACAGAATAATCGTACTTACCTGTTGTTTCAATCTTTTTAAAATACGGCCCCTACACGCATCTCCGACTATATTTCATAAACCTGTCACTGTTCAACATTTAGTATGCAAATGACAGTTGAAAATATAATTAAAATACAATGCAAAAAAAGAATAGGGAAAATATATCAAATTCATATAGAAAACTCTCTTAAATATATTAAGAATAAAAACAAAACTTCAGAAACGTAAATATGATGCTGTATACTATATATAATACAGTATTTCTCATTTTAAGCAAAGTCTGGAAGATTACACACCAAACTGACAATACTACTTATCACTAGGCTAATGAATCTCAAAGTGTAGTCAGAAGACCCCTGGGGTCCCTAAGCCCCTTCTGAGGGCATGTGAGGTCAGTACCGTTTTTAGCACAAGAAGGCTTCATTTGCCTTTTTCATTTTTCTCTCATGAGCATACAATGGAGTTAAAGCTAACTGTGTGTGTGTGTGAGATCCCGATACTCTGCAGAGGCAGACAGAACAATGCAACTGTCTTTTATTAAGCCAGTCATGAAAGAAGTTTGCAAAAAATGCAAAAAATTAAAAAAAAAAAAACACAGCACAATAATTAAAATAAGAGAACAACAACAAGGTAGAGCAGAAGCCAGAGAGAGAGCGCACAAGTGATACTATGAGAGCCAGGAGAAGCTTTAGGTGGGAGGCGACCACCAGATTAAATTCTGATGAGGAAGCAGATTTGGGGAGGATGCAGATCTTCCGTCTGGAAGAAGAGCACAGACAAAAGCCCAGCAAAGCGAACAACAGCATGGCAATTCTGGGAAAACAGACACCACTTGGTGCGACTGCAGTGAATGCACTGGAGCGAGGATACTAAGGACAAGGAGGTCACACAGGTCGCCCTGAGGGCTGTATCTGCTGCCAAGCTCATGAGCTTCAACGGCCCTCGTGCTGTGGGTCCCAGGGTGCTAGGAGAGGTGGGGGGCCCTGGACAGGCCACTCTGCAGATGTGTTTCAGGACAGGAACACTGAGGGCAAGGAGTCCGGTCAGGGACTGTGGGGGTAGGAGATGCCGCAAGTTTCACCAAAGCTGTGGGACTGGGTGGAGATCTTTGAATGAGCAGTATTTAGAAATAAAAATGGAATGTTCTTGAGCTCTTGTTACAACTGGTGGACTGAGCACATATGTTTTTCTCTCCTGCCCCCGAAACCCCATTCAAATGAGAGTAAAGTAAAACAAAATGACACAGACCAACAGAAATAAAGAGTAGATAAGAGATGTCTGGGGAACTGAAAAGCAAATACAGAAAAGGAAACCCAAGCCTGGAAGCTGGACGAGGGAGGACAAGGGACTGAACTCCTCTCCTCAGACCTCAAGGGCTCCGGCAGAAAGGGGGGGGTCTGAGGAACAGCAGCCGCACCCCTAACTGTGCCCACAGTCAGGGCCACTGAACCCCACTCGCTCCTGCCACCAGAGCAGGTGACAGGCTCAGTTTTCAGACGACTAGGACCAGGAACGCGCTGGACTCAAGGATACCAGGCTGAGCTCAGGTAGGACAAAGTTTCACACAAAAGGAAATATATCTGTGTGCATTTTCAAATTCAGCTAAAAAACAACTTTCCCAGTTGTAATAATGTAAAGCAAAACGGCTGATTTAGCTCATCAGCGGGGGATTTTATTTATCAAATCAGGAGAGAAGCAGTGTGGGTGCAATGAGTAGGGGCACGTACATGGTGTGGGGTCCCCCAGAACATGGCCACTTGAAGAGCTAAATTTGCATTTCCCAACTACAAAGTCTAGACAGTGTCGGAAACTGGAAAGTAAGGCAGCAGTGGGGCCACGGTAACTGGGAGTACAGAGGTCCAGACAGAGCTGCAGCAAGATGCATGGGTGGAGAGGTGTTACCCCTGGGGAACAGGAACTGGGGGAAGGGGTTAAAAAGGGACCACTGTTTCACTACAAGCCTTGTAATAATAGCTGACTTCTCTCTTTCCTGTGTGTGAGGGGCCCTCTCTCCATAACAGGATGGGAACAGGAAACTAGGCATTCTGATTCAAAGGGCTCTGGCTGGCACAACAGGGAAAGAAATGGCACCTAAACCAAGACAGAAAATGAAGTCAGGAGGTAGTTAACAGAAGAGCAAGTTCTGCTGTGCTTCATCCACAAGAATTCGCCCAGTAGGCAGTCCCACATGTAGGTCTGACATGGAGAGGGCATACTGAGAATAAAGACAGAGATGTGCGTAAAATTCAAATCCCTTCCACGGCCCTGCAGGAACACATCCCTGCCGCTAAGCTTCCTCTCCCCCAGAGATCCCAACCATGGACACTCTGAGATCCTCACACACACTGGCATCACCCCGTCTCAGGCCACGACCTGTTCCTCAGAAGACTGGTCCCCAAGTCTCTGAACACCTAGTTCCTTCTCATCTTCTGTGCCTCAGCTCACAGGTCACCAACTACAAGAGGCCTCCACAGCCATTGTCAGGACAAACGGGCGCCGTGGCTAAGACCCTCCTGTTCCCTTCAGGGGAATCACTAAACCCTGCACTTATAAAACTTGTTTCTTTCATAAAAACTAAGTTTCATGAAGGGAGCGGATACGCCTGTCTAGTTGCAACAGTAACCCCCTGGCAGAGAGTAAGTACTCAAAAGATATTTTCTGAAGGAGCAAATGTCATCACTGTAGAAAGAGACACTTTGACCTCATCTTAAACACACACATGTGCACGCACACATGCTCTAGGTTACAGAACTAAACATAAAGGCCAAAACTATAAACTCCCAGAAGAAAATGGAAGAAGAGATTCACAATTTCGAAGTAAGCCAAGACACTCAGACAGAATATCAAAAACACAAAGGATAAAAGAAGAAAATGAAAAACTGCACTTCACAAAATAAAAAACTGGTGTGTTTTGAAAGACACAACAAAGAAAATGAAAAGTCATCACAGACTGAGATCAGATATTTACAGTATGCGTACCTGACCAAAAATATTGATATGAATAATATCTAAAAATCACCTGTAACTCAATATCAAAAAGACAAAAACCCAATTTTTACAAATGGGCAAAAGATTTAAACCAAAGACAAATAGTCACTAAGCATGTGATCTTACACTTAGTACAAGTCATCAGGGAAGTACACACCAAAGCCAGAGGGGATCCTCAAGTGTATGATTAATTGATTTTTTATTTTTTTTAAGAGAGAGAGAAAGAGGGATCATGGGCAGGGCGGGGGAGGGGAGGTGACCTCAAGCAGATCCCTGCTGAGTGCAGAGCCTGAAGCAGAGCTCACAACCCTGAGATCATGACCTGAGCCAACATCAAGAGTGGGACGCTTAACTGACTAAACCACCCAGGAGCCCCTGGTTAAATGATTTTGACTCTTGTCAAAATCAGTGACAAAAGTCACTGGGAAAGAATCGTCTTTTCAACAATGGTGCTGGGACAACCAGATACCCACACAAAAAAGGATGAAATCAGACCCCTACCTCACACCATGCACAGAAACTAACTCCAAATGGATTGAAGATCTAAACTGTCAGAGCTAAAACTATAAAATTCTCAGAAGAAAATATAGAAGTAAATCTTCCTGATCTCGGATTTGTCAATAGTTTCTTAAATGACGTCGAAAGCATAAGAAACAAAAAATAAACTGGACTTCATAAGTATTAGAACCTTTTGCTTCAAAGGAAACTGTAAAGGACATACACAAAAACAACGACCCACAAAATGGGAAAAAATACTTACAAATCATACATTATATGGATATATGTGATATAGCCATACAATGGAATATTA